AACGAGAAAGACAAAATAAAACTTAATTAAAATCCTACCTAAACATCGTTTCACAGTCGGCATCGGTGATGTCTTGAAAATTCAATCTGGGAACGTCTTTATTCGTTTGGGGTGGAAACAGAGATTCAACTAAAAGTAAGTCAAGATCGTCTTCATCGCTACTGGAGTTATCACTGCTATCGTCGAATAGCAAAACCGTAATGATATCGTCAAAATTTCGCCTAAATAAACCCATATAAAATACACGTTTTGAGTAGTGATAAATGTCTATGGATAGGGTCACGATAATTTATTCATGGATTATATATTCATGTATTCCTGTTTTCATGACAAATCACCGGAAACGGAAACGRATGGGGTGATGGATCGCCCAATGAGAAGCGGGGACGGGTGACGTAAGGGGTGACGCAAGTGGGGATGGACCGCGCCTGTAATTTTTTTCTTTTTTCTTTTCTTTGAAAAAGTATAAGGTCCCGTGAGCTGGGTTTGAACCAGCAACCTTTGGAACTACAGTCCGACGCTCTGCCAATTGAGCTACCTCAGGCACTTACTTTAGAGGGGTGCTTAAAAAGGTAGTCAAGACTTTTGTTTGGGTTAAAGTTTTTTTAATAGGTGGGATATTCRTGACATTTACAAGTACAGGTGTTAAAGGAACAAACACAAGCATGACCATTAGATGCCATCCATCGGTCACGACTTTCCTCCATGTATTTTTTGCGTTGTTGCTTGTGTTCTTCTACTTTGCGCTGTTCTTCTTTTTGTTCGTATGTGCGGAGGGCATCTTTGGAAACCTTGATTTTCCATTGAGCGTAAGCTTCAATGAGGCTGGAGTCACCAGAGTGAATGTGAGGCCCATTGTTGGGATTGACCATGCCAAAGGTATAGGTATTCCAAGCATGGAGATAGCTCATGCGTCGTAGGATGCCATGGTTGGTGACCATGACTTTGCCAATGCCACGGTTGATGTCGTCTGCTATTTCCTTGGGAGTATCAGGGCTGTGGATGAGGTAGCGCTTGTGGGTCTTGGGATGGGTGTACCATTTAGCGTCTTCTTCTTCTTGAAGGGTAGGTTTGGCTTTTTGGGAGAGGCTGGTTGTTTTTTTTACCTTAAAAAAAAAGATTTTTTTAAAAAAAGAAAAGCTCCCCTGCGAGGAGTCGAACCTCGATCTCCAGCCAGCTAGGCCAGTATCATACCATTAGACCACCGGGGCTGCTATGAAATAGAGAAGTTAAGTTAAGGTAGTCTAGGGTAGGGATCCGGAAGTGATTAGTATATGCTTTTTTCGCAAAAAAGCGATCGACTAGTTGAGCTACCCGGAACACTCATGCAAGTTAGGTAGAAAAAACTCAAGTCATAGGTGTGTTCAAAGGTTTTTATTGGCCAATCAGAAAGCGTTACACAAATTATCAAAACAAATGTTTTTTAATCAGATAAGTCGTGTCGTCGGACGCGTTTGCCATTACGAAGAGWTTGGAAAGGTGTGGTACAGTTTCTGCATTGGGGGAACCATCCAGGGAGGTAAGCAAGACATGCATCACAGCGTTTGTAGCGGAGGACGTAACGAGTTAGACCAGGGAGAGGACTGAGGTCGAGCGAGGTAAGCGACGCATGTGAGACTGGTAGTCGAGGGAGAACTTGACGTGGTTGAGAGGAGTGTTGGGAGGATGAATTCGTTGATGAAGTCGGACAAGGTGGAGTCGTTGTTTGTGGAGGAGGATGACGTGGAAGGTGTTGGTTTGGAATTCTTGGATGCACAAGCGACTGGCCCATTGGACGGCAGCAACGTCTTTGGTATGACGAATGAACGTTTTAAATAAGGTGTCTAAGTGAGTGACGCAGATTTGGTGTGGAGGTCCAGGGAGGGAGGAACAAGGACACGGCATGGGGTAGTGATGACGGTGTTGATCCATGTAGCGAACGAGACAGAGGGAATGACAGGCTTGGGCAGGAACGTGATCGGGCAGCGGAGGCATGTACCCTCGGAGAGCAAATTGGCGGCAGTTGAAGACGTGGTATTGACCCGTGTAATCGATGGTCCCTTCTTGACCTGAATAGGGGATGGGCTTGTGACAGAGCAAGCACGGCGGAGGTTTGATCGTGTTGTGGTAGTTGACGTGAGCGATGGGACGGATGTGGATGAGGTCGTGGACGTGGCGCAAGAAGAGGAGCATGATGCGGGCCATGGTGGGTTGAGCCATTTCCCAGATGGGGTCGCCGCTGTACACTAGAGAAAAGTGACCTTCGAGGTAGTTGACGAATAAGGAGCCGGGCCAGTGAGGCAGCGAGTGGGGAGCACGACAGTAAGGACAGGTGTAGTTGAAGCCCGTGCTGAGGATCCACTGCATGAGGCACTCGGTGTGTATGGGTTGGGTACAGCAGGAGGTCATGTTGGTGTCGGAGTAAAGTGTTTCAGTCGGAAGGTGTCGTTGAAGCGGATGATTGGGAAGAGGCGAGTAACAAACGCAGCACTGTTAAGGAGCAAGAGTAGTTTCAAACATGAACAAGAGGGAGCAGTATTGGCAAATGTCTTCGTCAGGGTGAACGCGCTGATCGCAGGCGCCACAGGTATAGGAGGAAAAACAGTCAGGACAGTGAGGAGGCAGTTCCCAAACGCGACGTCGTCGTTTGCGTCGTTTGCGTGTCATGGTAGTCAGGTGGCCACAAAGAGGAACGTAGGTCTGTAATAGGAAAGGTGAGGTATTAAGAATCGCRCCAGCCACAACGGCAGGGGTTGGAGTCTTTTTTCTTTCTGAGTTGATCTCTTAGGGTGATGAACAATTGGAAGGTGGGGCATCGATCCAGGGCGTCGGCTACTTCGGTTATGAGATGTGAAGGAGTTCGTTTTTGGAAGTCAGGAGGAAAGAAGAACTGGGGCTTGTTGTTCACTTCGGATCTCTTGGCCATTTCGGTGCATTGAAGGCAGTCAGGATCTTGAGCTTCTTGACACGTACATGCTAGATGGGAGGGGCTGCCTGGGGTGCCGTCGAGGTGTATAGTAGAGTCCTTCTAATGAGGGAAAAGGACAACGTGGAAATGCTTTTAGGAACGATGCTTTGGTAGCGCGTAATGTTTTTTTGGCGCTGACACCCATGATGTATAGGCTAGGATTATCCGTGTGCAAGTAGGGGGCCACGTAGACGTAGACGGACGTGTGGGCATTGAAATGAGAGAGGGGAAGGTCGCGATTGAGGCCATCCACCAAGGGCAGGTAAGTAAAGATGATGTTGCTCTCGTCTTGGTACTCTCTCCACATGGCCGAAGCGAATAAGTAGTGGTTGATGGTGCCGGAGGTGGAGATTTGGACGCGGATGAACCCCGAGGGTGGGTATTCTCGTGCTTCGTGGGCGATGAGTAGGTAACGTAGAGGCGTGGAAGGAGTTTGCGTGAACTGGAAGTTGTGGAGCCGCGTATAGGTAGAACTGAGGACGATGGGATCATAAGCATTGGGAAAGCGGTGGTGGCAGCTGTAATCTTGAGCATTTTCGAGAGCGATGGTGGTGGAGGGGATGATGGCAAAGGGATGKGCTTGGTGGTTGATGTCATCTTGTGAAGGGGTGTCGTTGGCTTGGTAATCGTCCTCGTCCTCGTCAGAATCGAGAGGCATGAGTTCCAGGGTGGTGAGGAAGGGCGGATCAGTGTTGATGGGTCGGGTCCTGCACATGGGGCATTGAGTATTTTGACGAGTACGCCATTGGTTCAGACAGTCGTAATGAAATTGGTGTTTGCAACAAAGGGTCAGGACGGTGTTGGGGCAGTTGGTAGGTATGTCGGATAGGCAAATGGCGCAGACGACGGCGGCGGCGGTCTGAAGAAAACATAAAGTGAAGTTCACAAGGTAAAGGCAAGGGTATCGAGCCAGAACATTCCGGTGATGAAGTCTCCTCCATCGAGTTCAATGAATCTTTTGATGTCCATGCCGGAGACTCTGAGTTTGCTTTTAAGGCATCGTTCATAGCATTGCAGTTGATGGAGGAGGGGGTGGTTATCGCTGCTGAAGCGAGCATGGATCAACCAGAGTTTTTTGTCGTAGATGAGGTCGTGAAGGTTGTCGAGCAATAGGGTAAGTACTAGGGTTCGTCCGATGTGTTTGCGTAAAACGTTTGTGGCTGTGGCGGCGATTGCGGTCTGAAAAATAGAGTTCTTTTTAGGTTCTCATGTGAGGAGGAGTTAAGCCTATCTTAAGGATGCTGCAGGACTGAAGTTGCTTTTGAATGAGTTTGTGGATGCCTTTGAAATCGCTGAAGAGCTGGAAGTCGCGGATGTCTTGTTTGTTTTGTTTGTAGCCGTTAGAGATGAAGTCGATGACGYGACGAAGCGCTTCCTAGGGGTGGGSAAGAGCATGTGAAACATTGAAGCATAGGCGTGGTAAGGTTTTCTGTAGGTTTCGTCATAGTACTGTTCGTAGCACGAACGAGGCAAGCAAAACATGACGTAGTTGTGAAGGCTTATGGTGTAATCGTCTAGGTYAGCCACCCCGTCAGGGAATTGGTCAGGAGTGATGTAATCAGGACCCACACATAAATTTTGGGTGCAATGAGGACACATTATGCTAAAGGAGGTACGCTTCATTTCCAAGTAGTGCAGGACGCAGGCGCCATGAAGGGGATGATTGCAGCAGGGTGTCATGACGAAGGGTTCTGAAGTATTACATTCRCAAGGCAAGATACAAATGGTACATACCAAGGTTTCGTCCTGACTGTCCTCAACGGTAATGGCTTCAGGGTCGTCCTGACCAACTTCACGTTCTTCTTGTTCTACGTCCTCCCGCTTACGTTTAGGAGCAGAAGGTCCTGATTCAGTATCAGAATCGGGGGAGTTGATGTAGGCCTGACGGGCGGTAACCACCACGGGGTCATCAGAATCATAGGGATCATCAATGTTGAAACGATTGAACTGAGGTGCAGGTGCGGGTGCAGGTTCCGCTGCAGGAGGTGGCGTACTAGGAGGAGTAGGCACGGTTTGATCTACTTGAGAATCGTCTTCTGAACGAAAGACGACCACGCGGCGGTTGGACTTCTTGGGAGGCATGATGAAGGTTGGTTTGACTAAGTAAGTACTAGGTATCTAGGTATACGATTTGGTGATTTGGTATGAAAAATGGACTTAGATATATAGGGGTAGGGAGGGGTGGGTAGGAGGTCCCCCCCCCCCCCTAGGTGTGGTCTATATAGGAGGACCAGGATCTGTGATTTCCATATGTTTTACCTAGTAGTGAATCACCAGTAAAGCCAACGTAGTATACGAAGATACCAGTGTGGTAAGTAAGATTAAGGCGTTTCGTACGAGGCTTTAGGCTTAAGCTTATTTTTTGCTTTTTGAACACTGCAGTACTCATAAGTATGAAGATGACAAAGAGATGCGATCGAAAGCAAAGAATGAGTAAGAGGATAAAGGATACCATTTATCAAGCCATGGATGCTGTGCGACAAGATGATTATAGCAATCAAGACATGTTATCAAGCACGCAATACATTCTAGTTCGAAGGACATTTTTTAATGTAGTGGAGTTGTTAAAGACTAGAGGCATTGAAGAGTTAGATACATTTGATGTACTATTGCTTAAACAATATGTAACCGAATATGTGAATAAATACGGGTACACCGTTGAATCTTAACTTGGTGTCTTTTGTTTTTTCTTTTTCCAAAGGAAGGCTTYGCGAAGGCATTATCCAAACATTATAAAGAAGGTACGGCCCCCGACCCTAAGTTTTTGCAAGACGCGAAGGAATACGTCAAGGCGTTACGAGGCCTAGCCAACACGCTAACGGGATGGATTGATGCTATCGAAAAGCAGCAAGAACGCAAGAGAAGGTCGGCGTTCGTGTTATCACGTCGAGCCAGGGAACGGGCACGAGTACAGCAGGCATTGGTGGATCCAGAACGAGGACGTACGAAAGTATACGTAATAGAGGAGTACGGCGTGGGCAATCGCTTAGTGTTTTCTCACCATGGCATCGGGCAGGAGCACCAGGAGCTCGTCTCTGATTAAGAGTTGTGCTCGCTCGGTGTTTGCAGTGAACGTGCCTATGAGGACTCGTGTCATTTCGTATCGGATCGAGACGAGGTCTAGCCTGGAACAGGCCGGCCGCCAACGTAGACCGTACGTGGGTCACGACGACGACGATGACGACGGGGAGGACTTGGAAGAGGGAGGAGAGGAAGGAGAAGACGAATGGGGTGTTCGATGGGTGGAACGTTTATTTGATCAAGTCATGGAACGCATTGCTGGTGGAGGGATTGACGCCTCGGGATCAAGTAGGCATGACCCTTTACGGTGGGGACTTGGAATACCCGGTGTCGTTGGCCATACGTCCGTACCACACGCCCCAATTTCAAAGGCTGATGTTGACCAACGCCATCGAAATGATTCAGCAGTCCAAGAGGGAATGGATGTTGGGTCGATCGTTRGACATTACGGTGACTGTGATTAAAGACGTGAAGGGACGAGGACGGGTGTGTACGACGACCATCATGACTCCTGAACTTTTGCGAGATCGGTTGGAAAGGGGAGTTCTACACAAGCCGCCCGCGGCGGTGGGGTCGAAGGTAGCAGAGCACGTGATTCAGATCTTGGCGTGGCGAAGCGTGAGAACGAGGGACRAGGTGAGGCAAGAGTTGGAGGTACAGCACGAATGGACCTGGGAAGAAGTATTGACGCGTTGGTGTGTCGTGCATCCTTCCACGAACGTCTTGGTACTGTGTCAAAAGGGAGGCCCGGGAGCTTGTCACGAGGTGATCTGGAAAAGTGTTTACACCAGCGAAACTGAGGGATGTGTCATGTGGTTGGACGAARGAGACCCCGCGATGCTGGACGTCGTGTCGCCCGATACGTTGTATGGGGAGGCCAGGGTCTTGCACCATCGATTGTGCTTGAAGTGCGGCATGATCTATCGCCATCAGAGAACGCATGCTTGCAGCGAAGAAAAGGCCTTGACCAAGTACGAATTGGGGAAGAGGAGACCGCATTACAAGGCCACGGAGGAAGTCAAGCGCCGCAAGGTCTCGCGAGTCTTTGACGACGAGCATGAAAATTGCTTGGGAAGGGCCTTGTACCGGGCGCTGAAGGGTTTGGGGTTGGAAATGGTGGCCGAAGGAGGGTACGAGAAATCCTTGCAGGATTGGTACGGCGAGATGGGCATGGAGGACACCTGGGATCGAGCATGTGGGTTGGACGACGTCAAGCGGTGGTGTGCTAGCATTAACGAGGGATACGCAACGAATGAAGAACACGGATTCGAGTTGTGCGTGTACGACGAAAAGAATCGGTACGTAATAGCCTCGTTCGGAAGCAGCATAGGAAAACACAATGGTACGTTGACCCCCATTTACCTGAATTGGATGGACGAACACTTTACCTGGATCGAGTCTATGGCAGGGTGGTTGGGACGGGTTTACTTTTGCACTCGATGCAATAGGGGGTACAGCAATAAAGAAACTCACAAGTGCGTGCGTCCTTGCTTGCGGTGTGGGGAAGAACGGAACGACCACTACATCAAGTATTCCAATCAACGCATTACGTGTGACGAATGTCGCGTAGGGTTTTGGTCCAACGTGTGTTACCGTTCGCATTTGATGCAACGTCGCAAGGGGTCGTTGGCCTATACCACCTGTGAACGACGGTACGTGTATCTTCAGTGCAAAACTACCGTGGATCGGATGCGCTACGATCAAAAGACTACGGTGTGGTATATGGTCGACGATCACGTCTGCTACGAATACGATTGCTTGGTGTGTCGAGAGAAGAAAGTAACGCGAGAACACTTGTGCTACGTCAAGGGAGTTAGCAGCGATCCTACGGAAGGCAACGCACGACCCAAGAAAAAGAACGAAAAGCGCAAATTCTTCCTAGCGTTTTTTGACTTTGAGGCTCGGTGCCTGGAAGAACGTCACGTGGTGAACAAAGTGGTAGTGCTGCTGACGTGCCACGAATGCGTATCTCACGTAGAAGACTACCGTACGCGAGGATGCGCAGGAACTTGCGGCCGACAACGGATGTTCACGTTTGACGATGCCTCGGCCTTCATGGATTTCATGAAATTACCTTGCAAGGCAGCAAAGTCGACGGGTACGATCGTCAAACCAACACCGTGTATCAATTTCACGGCTGCTTCTATCACGGGTGCGAAGTGTGCTTCAGGCGAAGTCAAGTTCATGCTCATCTGGGAGTGACCATGGGCGATCTGTTCGACAAGACGCGGGAGARAACGTTGGAACTGCGTACCGCAGGGCATCACGTCGTGGAAATGTGGAGTCACGTGTGGGATGCGGAACGTGAGTATCACGTGTTCCCCGAGTGGATCAAGAACTTGGACCCCATACAGCCTCGTGAAGCATTGATGGGAGGACGCACCAACGCCGTGGGACTCTACGCATACTGCGAGGGGGAGGTCCAAGTAGACGAGTCGGACGACGAGGCCATCGCCTTGATGTTGTGCTCGGACCCCGTGCATCGCATACTGTACGTGGACGTGGTGTCGCTCTACCCTACGGTGATGTGGGAAGAAGAGTACCCTATAGGCCATCCCATGGTGTACGTGGGGGAAGACTTGGATCTGGACCCCGAGGAAATAGCCGATTGCATCCTGGACGAGGAGTGGTTTTGCTTGGTGAAGTGCGACGTCGACCCTCCCCGCGGATTGTTCTTCCCCGTGCTTTCGCGCATTGCTGACCACAAGTTGATGTTCACTCTGTGCGCGGCCTGCTGTGACGAAAAGGACGTAGAGGAAAACGAGGGCGGAGAATGCACGCATACCATAGAAGAGCGTCGTTTGCGGCACGGAGTGTGGACGACCCCCGAATTGAAAGCTCTGAACCAGGGGTACGAAGTGGCTCAAGTTCACGAAGTATGGCATTACCCTGACCGCAGCAGCGACTTGTTTCAATCGTACATTCGTGAAAATCTCAAGATGAAGATGGAGGCGTCGGGGTGGCCGTCCGATTGCGATACCGAAGAAAAGAAGCGGGAGTTCATGCGGTCCGTGAAGACCAGTCAAGGCGTCGATCTTCAGTACGAGAAKGTCGTGAAAAATCCGGGACTGCGTTCGGTGGCCAAGTTGAACTTGAATTCGTTGTGGGGCAAGTTTGGACAGAATCCGTTTCGTGGCAAGGTGGAGTACGTTACGGAACCCTGCCGCTTCTTTGAACTGCTGCACGACGATACGGTCAACGTCAAGACGGTGCTGCTGTTGACGGGCGACATGGTGCAAGTCAACTACGACGTGCCCCGTGAGTCCACAGTGTGCAACCCCAACGGCAACGTCGTCATTCCAGCGTTCGTGACGGCCTGGGCCCGTTTACGGTTGTACGACAAGTTGAATGCTTTGGGGGATCGCATGCTGTACCACGACACGGATTCCATCATTTACAAGACGGAGCAGGAAGGGGACGAAGAACTGGAAACGGGGGATCAACTGGACCAATGGTCGGACGAATGCGGAGATTCTGAAACCAATTGGATTGTGGAATACGTGTCCTTGGGGCCCAAGACGTACGCGTACCGTACGAAAAACGGAGAGTGCGTGGTCAAGTGCAAGGGCATCAGTTTGACTCCCTGTGCTAAAGAACTCGTCCACATGAAGAGCATGAAACGTCTGCTGGTCCAAGAGAACGAAAAAGTAACGGTCAGCTACCCACGCAAGATTGTTAGGGATAGCGCTCATAAAGTACTGAGAACGGTGCCCATGGACAAAGACGTTCGCTTGGTATACACCAAGCGACAACGTGTCGATCAAGGCCTGACCACGTTGCCTTATGGATATTAAAGGGGCATAAAAAGGAGGGACATAAAAAGAAACATGTTCATCGCCATGACTCAAATCGCTGCGGGACGAATTGGACGTTGGTTGGCCAAGAAAGCCGCCGCCATCGTGTCGGGAAGCAACGAAGATCAGCCTGATGGCAACATCAGCAACAACCGCTTTGGGTGCGGACGTCAAGCACACGCCCGATGCTGCCTCTCGTTGTGCTGTGGGGGATCCATCATCATCCACTCGCAAAGGTCGATCCGCCGCTGGAAAGACGAAAGGGAAGAAAGGAAAGAGCATCGCCGCCGCCACGGTGGCCAGCAAGAAGCAAGCTTCCAAATGGTACAGCCGGTATTTCGCAACACCCCCAAGCCCTAGCAGGAACCTCCGCGTTCTTGTCCGATCCCGGCGACGTCTCCAAGGGGTCTCAAGCGAAAGCCACGAAGAAAAAATGGCTGGAAGCTCAGACGACGCATCAAATTCATCGCCCAGCACGGCGTAATTATCCTCGTCGTCCCTTTGTCGTGTTTTCCATGGACGAGCAATGGCAGATGGATTTGTCGGACATGACTTGGGACAAGCCTGCCAACGATGGCATGGGATGGATCTTGTTCGTGGTCGACGTGCTGTCTCGATACTGCTGGGTACGACCGCTGAAACGGAAGACGGGGGAAGAAACGGCTCGGGGCATTCGTGAGATCTTCGAGGAAGTGGCCCAAGACCCGGACAAGAAACATACGTTGCCACGTACCGTGTACGTAGACAAGGGGAGCGAGTTTTACAACAAAGACGTCAAAGACTTGTTTGCCAGTTGTCCCCTTCCACCCAAGCTCATGTCGGGAGAGTCCACCACCAAGGCYGCCATCGTGGAACGGTTGCAGCGGACGTTGAAAGGAAGACTGTGGAAGTACTTTTACGAAAATGGGACTCGACGATGGGTGGACGTGATTGGTCCGTTGGTCGAGTCGTACAACCATCAACGACACGGCACGTTGAAGCAATCGCCGGCCTCGGTCCATCGCGGCAACGAAGGGGAGGTGTGGAAAAAATTGTACGGCGAGTACGGTCCAGAACGAGGAGCACGACAAAAGCTCAAGGGCCCTTACAAGTTTGACCTGGGCGACGTGGTCCGGATCAGCCGTCAAACCACGATCTTCGACAAGGGCTATTTGCCTCAATGGTCAGAAGAATGGTTCAAGATCCGAGCTCGTGACCCAGGCCCTCCCGCGTACTACCGCTTGATGGACTACAACGGCGAGGATATATTAAAGGGCACGTTTTACGAAGAGGAGCTGCTCAAGGTCGAAGACGAAGAAATAAAGCACATGCGTTATCGCATCGAGAAGATACTTCAACGCAGGACGGACCCCGCTACAGGTCGTCCCCAAGCGCTGTTCAAATATCAAGGGTGGCGTGAAAAGTACGCCAATTGGATCGACGAACGACAAGTCGAAGATTTGGGGCCAAAAAAGAAACCATGAGGTTGGAACGCAAACCGTTTGTCTACTGGTTCAACAGCAAGCCAGATCCCGAGTACCCCCAAACCAACGACAACACCACCTCGGAATTCGTGGTCCAGTTGCCCATAGGATGGCACTTGCCAGGCATGTGGTCGGTGGAAATACAAGCCATCATGACCCCTGAAACCACACAGACCAAAGGAGACTTGCTGCTGTACACGAATCTCATTCGCTACGAGATCGTGGGTCACGATTATTTTCCGCTGATCGAACGTATTACCACGTCCTCCGCTCAAGCCATCCGCTACCAAGAATCCAAGCATCCCTTCCGCCGGCGCGTCAACCGAAGTTACATAGAGAGCGTAGGGTTTAAATTGGCCGACACCAAGGGCCGGCCCCCAGTCTGGCTGAAAGACAGACCTACTAAAGACACGACCCTCTGCCTTCTCTTCACACCTCAAGCCAACGAGTACGATTCTTCCTCCATGAGCTTGACGCTTCTGTCCAACCAATCCAAACCTCGATTTCCTTCCGACAGACCAGGGAACTTTAAAGGCGAACTACCAGCGTCTCAAAGAATGAGTGATCAATGGAGAGTAGGAATGACCAAGGTGACGCTGCCTCCCGTGGCCAGCACTTCCAAGTCCACCCAATGGACCTTTAGACTGGATGCAGGAGGCTACCTGAAAAGCAAGCTGCCACCCGGGGCTCAGCACACGTTTACCCTAAGCGACGTCAACAGCGCCCAAGACTTGTGTGCTCAATTCAAGAAAGGCGTGGATGCCGTGTTCGATAGTTGGTTTCCGCAAACGCAAATGAAGCCGGCCAATGGGGGCATTGGAGGAGAGGGTGAAGGATCCGGGATTGGAGGAATGGAATTGAACCAAACGGCCACGTGGGTGGACGACTCTTCAGGCAAGGATGTGTTGATTGCGATCGACCTTGAAGGCAGGAAGAGCTTGGACGACCTATGGGATCGATTTTCTGCCAATGGAATCATCATGGGCCCCGACCAGACCAAAACCAAGTGGGACTTCACGTCACGTCATAACGTGCTGGTAGGACCCAACGCTCCAACCAATAACGAGGTCATGCAACGGTTGGGTTTTTGGACCCGCGATGCTAACATTGCTATACCTGGAACGATTCAACAAGACGGCACAACTCAATGGCATTCCTTCCTTTCTCCCTTTGTCAATGATTTTGAGCGAGATCATTCCTCCGTGTATCTTGTCCAGACCAGCCTTGAACTGAGCACGTTCRACCGCTTTTACTTGAAGATGGGATTCTTTGAGCGTCTAGGAACCCTAGATAATCCTATGGGACCGTCAGAACCAACGAGTACTATCGTTACTGCCAGCGAGTTGTACCTGACCATGCCCAAGGGGTTCTACGACTTGCTGAATTTTAATAATGGATCTAGTGCAGGGCTGGAGTACGAAAGCGTGGACGCCGCCGTCATGGGTCAAGGCGAATTCGTCAGGATCACGTGCAAGGAAGGATGGAGACCTTCAGGCCACGTGGAGTCTGATCAGAAGACCAATACAGAGCCCCAATCCAATCGCGTGGCTCGTATCAAGGGGTATCAGTATACTCAGCTTCGAGGAAACCAGGACGTCCTCAGTTCTCAAAGTGGGTCTTACGCTATTGACGTGGTCACCAACACCAAGGCCGTTCCCAAGAATGCTTACGTGACCTGCAGTCTGGTTCACAACCAACACGTAGGCGATCAGAACATCCCTCTCATGAACGTGGTTCCCCTCTCGTCCGTGTCCATGGGTGCCGCAGCCGAACCCAAGGAATACGTGTTCGAACCCCAACACGTTAAATACTACCCCCTCTCCGAGAATAGTTACCAGACCGTGGCCTTTGCCGTGCAAGACGAAGCAGGACAAGAGCTTCCCTTCCTCAATTCAGGAGTAACCACCGTATCGTTGGATTTCAAGAAAGGACCATGAACATTCCCATCTACGTTCCCCAAGAAGGAGGCGGTAACATTCCCGTCTATACCCCTCGACAAGCCGGAGGAGGACTAAGCATTGGACGGTTGGGGCGTGGAGCCATGCAATACGTCATACCTAAGATTAATGCTGTAAAAGACGCTGCTGTGGACCGTGGAGGCAAAGCSTTGGCTAACGTGGCCACGGACGTACTGGAAGGTAAAGATTTGAAAGAAGCCCTCAAAGACGAAGCGGCCGAAGCCAGCAAAGTAGGAAGCGTCAAGAAAAGCATCAAGAGTTCTGGATCCAAGTACGCCAAGTCTACCCTAAACGCTTTGTTCGACTAGAAAAATGAATCAACCCCGACTGATTACCGAGAATGGCGTATTCAAGCGCATCAGCGAAGAGCGGTATACCAAGTACATTACTTACCGTATGACCCATGGACCCCAACAAGGCATACGGACTAAAGAAAGAGACATTGTTAAAGCTTACGATATTTTTGTCAAGTTGTACGATGGACGCATCGCTATGGATGTAGATTAAAGAAAAAAAGTAAAGAAGACACAGTGTGTTCGTTTCATTGATTTTTTATTTCACAACTAGGGGAGTATGACTTGGGGGAAGGGTTTGTTTGAATCTTTCAAGTCTTCAGGGAAGGGGTCCAACGACAGTCGGTACTCGTCGGGCGTGGATTGATCAAAGTCCATGATCAGCGGACGATACGGTCGCTTATTGGCTTCCTCCAAAGCACGGTTCAACCACTTGGCTTGACCCGGAAAAGCTTGACGTGCCAAGGCTTGCAGCTGAGACTTGTCTCGAGGATTGCGAAACAGCACGATGCGGTGAGCGTTGAGGGAGGCGGTTCGCATGTGAACGGGAAACACGTTTTGCATGAGCACGACCAAACTCACGTCCATGTGGTGGGTTCCCTTGGTAAACCACTTCGAGATTTGACGATGATCCGATTCCATCTCCCCCATCAGGTCGTCCGCGATCAGCAGTCCTGGGGTTCGCTTGAATAGGGCATAGGGGTCGTCCGGCAATCCTTTGACCCACTTAGCCTCGTCTCCAAATTCTTTTTTCATGTTGTCGTACTCGTCTTGCCATATGCTGTACAAGTACACCACTTACTTGATGGGGGGATCGAACTTCCAAGCCCGATGACGACTCATCTTGCGAATGAACCGCGTCTTGCCGCTCTTGGAGGGTCCGGCCACGACGGTTGCAAGGATGCTGCCATCGTGAGTTAAACGGTTTGATTGCTTCTGCGTTGATGATAGTTTCTTTCTCTTAGCGTCGCGAAGAAATCAAATGTACTGATCCACTACCTCGTGAGGGCTCTTGTTATACCCTCCCTGTTGACTGTGTTTCTTGCGACGAGGTTTGGATTTGGACACTCGAGATTTTCGCTTGCGCCGCAATACGCCGCCGTCAATAGTTGCGTCATCGCCGTCATCATTATCATCGTCGTTGTCGCTGCCTGGACCGGGGAAGGTTTGACTGTTATGCTTGCGTTCCACCACAGGCCGCTTGCCTCAACGGACCGTGGTCACGGTGGTGGTATTGGCGATGGTTTGATGATCCCCTTTGCCTAATTTTTTGGGCAAGGCTTTAGATGCGGTGTCTTGATCCRCGTTCTTGAATCGTTCCCCATGATCGTCATTATTGTCGTCTTCGTCGTCGTCGCCATCGCTGCCGTTGTCGTCATCGTCCCCTCCTGGATCGTCCCACCCTCGATCATCATCATCGTCCCCGCCATCACCATCCCTCCTCCTGTCTTGTTCGGCTTCCTTGCGAAGCTGCAGTCGTCGTGCCAGGGCTTTTTCCAGGACATAGCGAATCCGCATTTGAGACGTTTCGTCAAACTTGCTTTGATCGGTGGCTTCCAATTCCTTGACGTATTCTTCCACTTCGGCCAAGTTCATCTTTTTCTCGATTCGATTGCCTCGCCATCGGCCATCCACCCGCGTCATCACGTTCTTGATGGTAGGCGTCAAGGTCTCTTTCACCTGGGGGTACTTCTCCGCCAACGATTTCAATGCCTCGGCGTACTCGCGCAATTCCTCCTTGTTTATCTGATCCAAAGTAGCGTCGGGCAAAGACGTTAATCTCCCTCCACTGCTTGGCGTCCATGCCGCCAAGTTCGCCACTTCTGAAGGGGGTGATGCCGCAGGCGATGCTGAGGGTGAAAAGGTTGGCAATGCACCGGGCGTTCTATCGGGGGATGGACCGGGGGATGGACCTGGTGATGGTTCGGGTGATGGCGGGTCCATGGCCCGGGCCAAGTCGCTTCACGTCGACAAGGGCGTGTCGCTAGACAGAACGCTCGCCATGTCGTCCGGCAAGTTGAAAGGCGAGCCTAACAACTGCAGCATGTCCTCATCGTAGTTTTGCGTTGGCGAAGGAGGCAACGGCGACATGGGCGGTAGGACGGGCGTATTCATCAGGAAACGATCGGCGGCCCGTTCGGCCGTGGACGTCGTACGGGGCGTTCGAGGAGCAACACCGGGAGCTTGGAAGAAAGGTTCGCGCTCGGTATGCTGACCTAAACCGTAACGTAGGTATAAATCTTGAGCACCCACACGTTCATAGGACATAACGTCGACGCACCGAATTGTRTTTATGTGTACTTAGTATAAGCTAATATAGTTAAGATTTCTACTAAAGAAAGTGATTGTTTCCTTTTACTAAAYTTTTTKATTAATATTATGCTGACAACAAAAACTAGATGACCCCTCAAATTTGCTGCCATATTTCTGCTGACCCCCCTCTTGAGTCCTCTGAATTTATCGTGACCCCCTCCCAAATCTTGCCAGCCCCCTCCCTGGCATAAATAATGAATGGTCCCTTAGTATTTTGATATCTTACATTGATATATATTTCATCTTTTTTGAATATCAAAGTCTAGTTGTTGCCCCAAAGCATAAGGATTCGAAAAAGTGGACAAAATTACTATTCTCGCTGAATTTCGCTAACCATAGTAACCTCCGTTACAATATACGTTACCATAAAAAGTCTCTAAATTTTCTTATAGCCCAATTAATTGTTTAACAACAAGGGAAGATTATCACAATGGTTTGTCATTTTTTCAAAGGCCAGTTTTATTTCAAGATATCACGAATTGTATTTCAGAAAATAGTTTTTATTAGCAATAGGGAATGAATGTCCACATTTTTTTAAATACTAAGCTAATAATTTCAACACTTGTTATTCCTCTGGAATTAATGACAATACGAAACCATTTAAAAAACAAGTTTTAAATATTATACTTGATCATTTTTATACGAAATAGATAAAGCTTTATTCATTTGATTCAGTATACCAGCTCTTTTTCAGGCCAAAGTGGCTTATATTTTAGCATTTTTAAGACATACAGGTAGTAATAATACAAAAGACAATCATTTCGTAACCATTTAAGATTACATGCTCAAATTTCGGAAAATTATTCTAAGCTAATACAGGTTTGAGAAAATAAAATTATCTATATTATTGGCGAGACTTTCGTTTTTTTCATTTTTGAACATTCTAATTGCACACTTTAACTGAGAATCAATGTTTGTTCCGTAAGCATTGACAGTTGTGCAAACACAAGAGAAAAAGAACATGAAATGACAATTCCGGAGTCACACTTTCTGTAAAGAAATTTATCGTTCATTCACTACTTTCTAGGTTATTTTTAGGTACACGTGCATCTCCAGGGTGATTTGATCTCCAAAAATGAGCAAAAATTTGTTTACGTTCCTGGAAGCAACGAGGTGAGAATTGTAATTCATACGCCGTTGACTGCAAAACCGCTGACAAATATCATGCTCGTAAGAACTCTGAAATTCACTTATTTTTATAGTTTATTTCTACGTCATTGTTACAAAATATTGTTATGAATTAAAATGTTTCCGCCTATTCCCATTTCATTCAATACTACCTTAATAATTGCTTTGTTTGTTGTTTTTTTAATACAGATTGCAAAAGCTGTTTTTAAGCACAATTTCGGTGCTGCATTGTTGGCACTTGGCTGTTTTTCAATGGGGATGCACGCAGACATACTACAAAACAAATTTGATGGATGTCCTGTATCCATTTTTGTTGGAACCCGGGAAGAGGGAAAGCATGTAGCCTGATGTTGGGACTACCTGTTCTTGGTAAGTTAATGTTAAGAAGTTCTTAGCAACCCTACCAAAAAACTTCCAAAACACCGATAATATAATATCAATAACATCGCATCCCGCAGGATTCATGATCACCGCAACCCAAATGCCCCTCCCCCAACCTGAACAAAGTAAACATTTGGATAACGCAAATTAGTTACCCAATGCGGCCTTATGTAGAGCAGATTAAAAACAAATGTGTTTTGTGTTTTATCAAAGGTATGCCTAAACACTGTACCAAGTCAGGCTCCAAGGAGGCTATCCTTAAGGCAGGCAATGGAAGTGGAATGGAATGTTATTTTAAACCTCAACTTTCCTTACTTTCTCGAGATTGGATAAACATGACAAAAAAGAATGTCCTGGGGAATGCGCTGGGCGGGCAAAATTTTGCGGATTGCAGGCCAAAATTTATTTTCCAAAAACAAATTTTTTTGGAAATCATTTTTTGAAAGCTAGGTATAAAGATACCTACAGAACAAGCCGAAAACATTCGTTTTTGTAGGTGATTACTTTATTAGTTAAGCAAAAGACTGCGCCCCACCTGAAAAGGTTTTCTGATATGGCTCATAGATATCTTAGATGGCAACATGAAACAATTCAAAGCTTCAAATGTCGCTATTCTGTTCATAGATACTGAAGGAAAATATGATAAAAATGAAAAACCACCCAACTGTCCTGTTGATGTTTGGCGAAGCAACTGCCTTGTCGAGATTTTCTGCAGCTACTTTCAACATAATTTGCCGAAATCAACTTCTTGGCGAAATCTTATTTAAAATCATTGAAGTGCACTTTTTGTGAAGTGTTTTCTATTGAAATTAAAGTTATTCTGGTAGTGCAATCAGGCTTTTCTTGTTAATAGGCCACTTTTTCTCGGTTAGGGATTTCAATCATAAAAACCCATCGTTAGCTTAAATCTTCTTCCCCTAAATCTTTAGTGAATTGCCTTTTCCTCCATGAATTATTGTCTGTAACTGAATTCTTCGACATTAACGTTCATTTTCTTTTTCCTCCTCCATGAAATTTTGGCGGAATTAACGTTTTCTTTCTCTCCCTGCTTACTGCTTTGCAGTCTGCGAGATTTCCTCCGTCTTCATGCCTTTCTTTCTCACGCCTCTTCCCCAAAACTCTTTTTCTTCAACGTCTAATTTCTTCTGATTCGACTCTGAGCTAACACTGTTGAAATCTCAAACTACAAAACTCCAAAACTGGGTCCATTCTAACCATTCTCAAACAGCAGTTGCAAATAGTGACGCACTCTTTACGGATTATAAACGATTCGACAACGTGCAATCGTTCTTCTTGGACGAGGATGTCCATGTACCCCTACATGCCACGACAGTATCTCCGGGAGATGTCAGGCTAAACTGCGACCTAAATGGAGTGGTGTTGGAGTTGCACCGTTTGGCACGTTTGCGGAGATTCCTTCTGCATCTCATCCTCCCTCGCTTCGACGGGTCCTCATCCTCCCTCGCTTCGACGGGTCCAAAGTCAACAATGTGTTCTCGCTACTGCGAAAAGCACATAAGGGCCGTCGACCTTTCGGGGCGGGTGTGGGACTCTTTCAAGAACCTTCATGGCCACGCAGTTAGATATTCTGAGGGGTACCAGCTCCTGGCGTGCGTGATGCCTGCCACCTTGGACACCTGGTGTCTCGATCTTGTGGACCCTGTCACTGCCAAGAGGAAAACACAAGTTTTGCTGACGTCAATGGTGCAAAGGTAATTAAATATTGAAGTAACCACTTTATTGAACGAGGATTGGGTTTACTCTTTGCTGATGTCAGTAAAAATGAAATTAATATACTATCTTAACTGTTATCTATAGGTTAAGACATCTTCTACAGGCCCTTCCATCAACGGACATGGCCTGCCCTACGGTCCAGAAAAACACGTTTTATGATCTAAGCCACATGGCCGTTCTCCAGCAGCTATGTGTCTTTATAACATATAACCTCAAGAACCTAGTCATAACCAAATAGGGGGATCATGTAAGACGTTGATGGATCGATGTGTTCCAGTGCTCGTTGTGTAGCCCACCCTAAGGACAACACACCCATGAAGTTTGAGTGACATCTGTTGAATATTCAATGAGATATCAATGTTATACTGGGTACTAATGTTTGCCTCAATTAACCCCATTTCATATTTCAGGACCATTCATTCATACTGGGTCTGCTGGACTCGGCCGTAGCATTCGTGAATGCCCAGGATCGCAAGATGAAGATACATATGTTCCTGGTGAGAATGGGTCAGAAGGACCGCCATCCCCTTCCCCTTCACACTCACGTCCCCAATGAGGACATTGCATCCCTCTCTGTGCACTGCGCCTGCGAGGTCTCCCCAAGCAGCGGCGACGTCCACCTGCTGTGGTCCCATCAAGCTCTCCAGTCACTGGTGCACACGCGCAGCAGGACGTACTCGCCATTGTCCATATCCCAGAAAGCGCCAATTTCCAAGTGCGAGCTGGTGCTGGAGTTCTTCTTCCATGGCGGCCCATCTCGTCCGAAGACCGCCAGCTCGCAGTCTCCCTGGGCGTCCATCCCTGCCACGATGACAGTGCCACCTACCAGCGAGGCATCTTGGGGCTGGCCCCACACCAGAGTGCCTCCGTTGGCCTCTCCCCGCCTCCACTTACGAACTGCACCAACCAAGAATGGCAGAGGTTGCGGATCGAACGGGTTTTCGCAAAATGCGAAAACCTGGACACTGCCTTTGCCGTGGTGGGAGAGGCCTTCCTCAAGCTCTTCCTCCAGGATCTGTTGAACCAAAACGATTGCCTGCCCATGTTTTTTCTCAGCCAGTCATGTTTTGAGCCACCAGGCATCTTGGCTGGCCACCTCACCGTTCAAGAACTCATATGCAAGTTGCTGGACCACAGGAACAGGTTTCCCTACCCTGCCACCGTGGAAAGAGCGATTGAACTAATTACAAGGAAAGGGCTGGAGCCCAAGAAACTCCTGCCTCTGGGTTTCACCTCTCAGGCTGAAATACTTCCCAAGCTTCACCACGGTCGACAGAAACAAAAACTACGTTCTGTCTTGGAGGTTTCAGCACCATATTTAGATCTCATACACTGCTGACGATTTGTCGCCGGAAGCCGTGAAATTGGAAGGGAAGTTTTATTATTGG